GGGCTCTGCTGCTCATAGCTGGTGTCCCAAGCCAGCTCTTAACCAATGCGCCACTCGGCCAGCCTGACTTCTGTATATTTTGTATCCTACAACTTTACCGAATGCATTTATTAACTGTAACCGTTTCTTGGTAGAGTCTTTAGGGTTTTCTACATATAATATGATATCACCTGCAAATAGTTTGTTTTTCCTTTCCAACTTGGATGCCTTTTCTTTTTCTTGCCTAATTGTTTTAGCTAGGACTTCCAGCACTATGTTAAAAAATACTTAAAATGACAAAAAGCAAGTGGCCCCAAGAAAGAGGTTTGAAACTAAATGTTGAGTACTCACTGAGTTCCTGGACCAACTCCCTTCTTTTTATGAAGCCCCACGTGGGTAATGCAGGTTTTAAAAGCAATCCCAAGTTACTATTGCTGTGTAACAAACCAACTCAAAATTTAGGAGAATTAAACAGTAATCATTTTGTCTTGGTTTCTGTGAGTCAGGAATTTGGGAAAGGCTCTACTTGGCAATTCTGATGCAAGGTATCCAATGCACTTAGTGGCTGGAGCTGGAATAGCAGGAGGCTGGAATACTAGGGACAAGGCATCTCTATCTGCTTGTAGTTTCAGGGTCTCGTGATGTTGGCTGATTTGAGCTTCTTCACAGCATGGCAGCTTCAGAGTGGTAGAGCTTTTTATGTGGTGGCTCAAGGACTGCCAACTTGGGTTTTCCAACAAACCAGCTGTGAACTGCATTGCCTTTTATGACTTAGCCTTGGAAGTCACATAGCATTACTTTTGTCATATGTTCTAGTCACCTCTTGATCTGAGGAATGTCAAAGATTTTACTGACATTTCACAACTGCTTCATCTACCTTTAAGAAGCCCATATGGTGTGGGAGGCAAAAACCAATCCAGGTGACACCACCAAGATAATGCCAAAAGGTAAGCTGCCCCACAGAGGGCTATGGGAGCTCAGAGGCAGGAACAAGGCAAGGGCACTGTGGAGGTGGCCTTTGCGTCAATTCTTAAACTGGATTTTGATATTTTGAATGGCATTAGCATGGCCCAGAAGTAACAAATGGTTGTTGAACAACAGTGACTGCTTAATCACAGTCTGGGGTGGCTAAGGGGAGAAATGAGCAGAGGCAGGAATTGTGGGCCAGATCAAGGAATGCCCAACCAAGAAGCTTGGAAGGAGGGAGCTAGGTGGAAAAGTAACAAAGGTTCCTCTCCCCTCTAGACATCTTTACCATAGGAGATGGTGGACTTTCCCTCTTCGCAATGGCAAGACCTACCCACCCACCCCCCAACCCCCATCCTGAGTGTGGTATTACAAGAGGCATCAATCTCCAACTTGGAATAGTATCAGGTAACTATAAGCAGATTTTTGAAATATGGCTTTTTTAGTTGCTCAAACCATCACCTAAAATGTGACAGGTTCTGAGGGCAGATAATGAATGTGCGATGCCTGAAGAGAGCAGAGTCTCCTAGAGGCACCTGTTGTGTTCATGAGCATGGTCTTGAACTTTCTGTGATGATGGAAATGTTCTATGATCTGTGCTGTGCCATTCAGAAAATATCTAACCACATGTGGCCAGAACATATGAAATGTTAACAAGGGCTAGAATGTAATTTTTAATTTTGACTAATTTTAATTTAAATAACCACATGTGCCCAGTGGCTGCTGTCTTAGCCAGCAAGGTCTAGGTAAAGGATTTGACAATAGAGATACGAGCAAAGCACTAGGGGAATCCAGAGAAATGGGACCAGCCACACACTAATGCCATCCTGACTCAGGTTTAATTCAAAGGAGTAAAAGTCTCACTGTAGACCCGAGAGAGACCCCCATTGAAATATACTATCCAAGACCCTAATGTAAGGCACAATGACAAACACAAGCCATCGGCGAAAATGTCTAGGTTGGTGAGGAGAATTCACACCTCACCATCTTAGGGGGGCAATGCGGGGTTCACTTTTAGCCCTGGAACTCCCTTTTCA